TTTTTCTGTCCTTCCATTCGGCTGACACACGATCGTGGTAATTGGATGACGTTGTCGGAGTGAAGCTCTTCTGTCAGTCATGATTTCCTAGAATATTTGGAATCACAGAGTGAAGCATTGTAGTTGAGCAATGTTCGGTGTGGAAGGCAAACCAGTTGGCAACATGGTGAAGTAGCACTGGATGATATCTTCTACATTGATGTGTTGGTAAAGTTTGTACATCTCAGTGACCCAACGAAATATGCTGACTGTAAAACTTGTTCTATCAAGGTCCTACCATGCCAGGAAGACCTACCGGATAATGGTAATACAAAGAGCAGTTTCCTCTGTAGTTTGAACTGTTACACTATGATGAGAGTCAAAGGGTGAAGTAGTACCGCTGGCTGGATGAGTGTGATAGCAGTAAGCTATTTCTTTTGGATGATCAGCAGTGCTACACTGCCTTCCCTGGGGGGGAGGCGGCGGGTCAGAAAAGGTCTACTCCAATAACAGCACTTCTCCCTGCCACAAGGTCTTCCGATGGTATAGGTATTCTCATTCCGATGTTTTAACGATCGCAGCTCACACCAACAATCCTTAAAAGTCTGCATGTGACAGGAGTCAAGTAGATGTCTCATGGACTCTGCGGTCACACAAACCTTCTTCTCATTCAGGTACTTTAAGAAGAAATAGTCTTCCATGGTGGGGGTAGCAGGAAAGTGTCAATCGTCCGCTCGCTTCCGATGGTACATAAGACTGAATAAAAAATTAATCTATCCTCCTCAACTTTCTTCCTCTTCGGCTTCACTCTATGATACCAATACTGCGCCTATTACACCTTTCTCAACCCCTCAATCTTCGATCACTGCCAAAAATGAAAGCCATAGAAACCTCATCCCTGGTCTCCTAAGACACCGCCATCGATTTCTCGTAAGGGCTTCCAAAGTATGAACTCCATACCAAATCAGACAGCAAGCATAGCTCCCCAAAACTCTGGAATCTCTAGCCATGGGTGCATGATCTTACTCTGGGACATATGTATAGGATCCGAATACGGTTATTAAACTGACCTCACTTGGCCACGGTAATGAATCTTGTTGTTTGTACTATTCCGTCGCTGAGTGGATCGAATTGGCATATGGGCTCCTGTGTGGATGCCTCGATACTGCCAGCGTTTCAGTTATATATTAATGATGGATAGTGGCTAGCAGTGGAATCCAGGACGCGCATTTCGTCCCGTTTGGGACTCATCAGCTAGCGGGGTAATACAAAGAACGACATCAAAATGATACCTTTCGCACAAGAAGTGGCCATTGTGACTCGGTGGTCTAGTTGATAGTGTTCTGGGGGTTTGAAGCGACCAACCCGAGTGGGCACAATATAGCTCACTGGGAGGCAGGCACACTCAGCTGACGGGTCCGGAATAGGATGAAACGTGCGTCCTGGATTCCACTGCTAGTCACTATCCATCATTAATATATAATTGGAACGCTGGCAATATTGAGTAATGTCTCCAAAATCCAATTTACAAGTATCCGTAGACCTAGTGGCTAGTTCTCGTAGACTCGCTGGTGTAGATATAGAATTGAGCTGTAGAGAAGCGAGTGCGCTTCTCAACCGGATACCAGCCAACAGCCGTCTATATGCTGTTCCACTGAATGGATCTGTAAGAACCAGAAAGAATCTAAGACTAGGTGGTGCCTACGCGTAATCTCCAGCTGCGCACCCGACTGCAGTTCGCATGATGTAAAAGAAGAATTCTACGAAAAGCTGTCAACCCTGCTACAGAAAACAAAACGTCCAGATGCATTCACAATGACAGGTGAATTTAACACTCCAGTGGAGAAAATCGAAAAAGCATCTTGATAGTATTTACGGAATCCCACGCCAACAAACTGACAACAGGGATCATCTGTTGCAATTTTGCTCGAACAAATACTTGCTTCTGAATAGCACTAACTTCAAGCCCAAAGAGAGACACTGTCTCACATTGTGGCTACCGGTATCAAACGAAGGATGGATATACACAAGTTACATTGTGAAAAACCACCGTTGGAGGATTGCCGCAATTTCTGGAACACCTGCTTGGACTACAATCACGCGTAGGTATGGGCTCGAGTATACATGCGCCTCATCGGACGCAGGAAACACGAGGTAGTAAAGCCACTCTATGGTCGATGGGAAGGTGAGGATGGCAAATACGAATTTAAAGAGTAGTTAACTAAGCATTTATCAGAGCGTGGCAAGAATGCTCATCCTGAGGAAACCGGGCGTCATATTAGGTTTACTGTAGAAACGGTGATAGAAACAGTTGGTAACCTACACATGAAGGTTAACAAACGTCACTGAATTTGCCCAACTCCATTCAAACTGATTGATAGCAGGAAGACTGATTTCAGCTGACTCTGACAAGATGGAGAGTGAAAGCAACTCAAAAGAAAGTTGACCGAGAGTCTTCGCGAGCAATGGTGGGTGGCAAAGTCGAGAGAAATGGAGAAGGCATCAGCGTTGGTTAACACTCGGTAACTACTTAGGCTTATTAGGAATACCGGCAAAAAGAAGACGATAGTGAGTGAAACGACCACCGAAAAGGATGGAACGCTGACAATCTCCCAGGACACACGTCTGGACTTTGGGCAGAACACTTTGAAGCACAGTTAAACTGGCCCTTAGCAACGCTTCATCTACTTAACATCCAGCCTAAATCTGAATGGGGCGTAGATGACAGTCCTCTACTTCTCCTTGAAAGTAAGGAGGCGGTATCAAACAGGTTCTGCAACACAGTCATATCTACCGGCGTATGACATTTACCACAGTTCTTGACCTGAAGGTGGCACTTGACTCTGTCGATCGTGGTTTTGTAGCAGTGTCCGACGGTGAAAAGAGTGTCGAGCAAGTATATAATGCTTATTAAGGCTCTACTCGAACTCATGCAGCTGTCCAAGAGATTATGGAGAGATGTCATATGAATTGATGACAACCAGTGGTGTCTATTGTCATCATTCCTATTCAACTTCGTTACTGACATATTAATTTTACATAACCATAGGTACGTCTGATTTCAGAGATTGACCTACTCCCTGGAGGTGATCTGATTGATTTACAGTGTGCACATGATAATGTCCTGCTGGGTGAAGATGCAGACACACTGAGCAGAAATCTGAGTATGTTTGACATGTGTTTCACTGGCAGCAATCAAATGTAAGATGATGTTTCAGACCTATTCTGCAACCACATCCTGTTTAAGGATAGAGAGTGAAGTGGTGGAGTGTGTCGACCACTTCACTTCCTTGAGGGAGTTGCGTCAGCTCAAACGGGATGGTTGTTGATGAAATCTCAGCTCGGATACAGAACGACTGCTTGACACTTGCCGATCTGAGTCATTTGTGGCTCAGGCTGGCGAAATATATCCGACTCCTCACCAAACAACGAGCATACTGCCCTGCTATATGACGGTGAGACATAGCCGTAAAAAGTAAGACATGAAGCGGTGACAGGGTTCTTCGTAACATTGCTTGCGTTTGCTGCAGTCACCCTGTGAGTAATGTTTAGGTCAGACAAAGAGTACTAGACAACATAAGCAAGTCGACTAGTGAGGTAACAACTTGAACCTTCACTGAATGAGATGGCTTGGATATGTGCTGCGCATGCCGAGTCACCACCCACCTCGACGTGCCATGATATGGGAAGTTGGATTTGGTTGGAAAATGGTTCAAGATGGCCAGAACAAGACGTGGCATCAGTCCATGCAGTTTCTCACTGTTGTTCTGGGTCGTGTGAGGAGATATAGACTACATGGCTGGGCTCGCCGAGACGATAGGAATTAGTGGTTGAGAACTCTTGGTGACATAGCTACAAATCGATCACAGTGACGCAGACGTGTTCACTCTTTGACATCTTCTAAAGCTTGAGTATTTGCACTGACCATTATCTTCAGATTGTTTATTCCCTCACACGACTTTGTCTACTTTGATGTCACTCTTTTTCTATCCACTTGTTGTTTTTATACTACTGTGAAGTGTGGTAACTTGAACAGATACATTTGTAGGTGATTTTGTCCGTCTCTGAACCTGCCACGTAGAAGCTTTAGGATAATCAAAACGATATGTTACACTAAAGCATGAAGTCTGTGTTTGCCCATTTTAATGGTGTTGGCTTTATTGTGCGGATTGTTGAAGCAGCCGAAATCGTTAGTTGCAAACTAGACGACACGGATCAACACCGAAAACAATATCTTGTACCGATGGGAGGGAAACTAGTACCTCAGGAAATTATGATTGATTGATTGATTGATTTTGAAGGACATCTTACTCAAGACGTAGTTTTCAGTAATATTGCATACCTCTGACAATTCACTTGTTTTCGTATGACCTATGATTTCAAAATAGTTGCGTGTCAGGTGAAATCAAGTATTACGTATTATTCCGTTTTCGACTTCAGACAACCAGTTATTTCATATTCATGAATTATGTAGACATTACGTGGATGAATATATTCATAGCTTACTGCAGTTGATAGTGGACAATAAAAATTAATCTTTACTTTCTATCGTTGGGAGGCTGGAGGTAGGGACAAATCGTGTGACTAACCCGTCGATGGGCTGTGCATATGAGGTGTTGCAAACGTATGCATAATTGATGGTGCGTTCGGTTACTGTTGGAGATAGGCAAGAAAAACATGTCATAACACCACTACTAGACTGTTACATCACGCTTTATATTCACTTCTCATCTTCTACTAAATGTTAGGCATCCTATAGCTCTGTAGGTCTTCAGTATTTCTTTAACTTATTTCGCTAGTTTGTTTGTCGAGAATAATTTATGTATTCGAAAACAATTTCAAATATTGGTTTGCACTCTTCATACTTCTTTGGAGTGTGATAACTGGGATAAATACGTTGCTTACGACTGGGTGACGTGTATTCTAATCTTAGGGGTTTAGTATGACATACATTGTATGGCAAATGAAGCCATGACCACTAGGATACAAAATTCAACCGCAAAACTAACACAAGGCAGACACAAGAGCCACCTCACATTTTTATTACTGATAAGGTATTTTAGAACCCTCGAGGAGGAAATATTTGAAAATAAGTTACTATACATTGTACACTTTGTGTGCAGATTCACATTTAAATTCGACTGACCAGCATGTTAACATGTGGATAGAAAGAAATTAAACTACTGTTCACTGGCAACGGGATGTAATGTTTGCTCTCCTTATTCTTTTTCGAGAGCTTGTGCTTTTGCTGCCACAAGTGACGCAATCGAGCCCACAATCCAAGGGCCATATGGTCTATTCGCATATCACATGGGAGATCAGGTCTCATAAGAGGCTTCCATACTGTATATATCTGTCTGTAACAAGAACAAATACAGAACATAAAACAACATTGGTAATAGATAAAGGGGTGTCAGTAAACTAACAGTCAGTGTAAATTGCACACCGTGTCTCACAACCAAAAAATAAGATGGCTAAAAAGAGTATCTTTAGAAACATGAATGACACACATTGTCAGAATGTGGATCTGATCATAACTCACTTGGGACTCACCCAAAAAGATATTAGAGACGAAGGGTATATAAATTCCTTTGCGCACAGGATTTTACACTGGAGTAATTCGAAAATAATTATTTTTATCAAACTGAGTGGTGGAAATATATGTTAACTAACCACAAAGCCTTACACTTTATTAATCACAGAGTAAATGAATGCAGGTGATGTAACACAACCAGTCACAGGAAGGTGAGCATCACTTCGATCTGGAGAAACAATTTTGTGCGAGAATAGACAACAGGTAATAGAAATCTGGAAAAAACATTCACTCACCTAATACAGCGAGTTCAACTGGATAACAAGATTCTATCATCAAAACCGTTTACCTTAAAATGTGTTTAGACCACTCAGTGGAAAAAGCTTGTTCAAATACGCTGGAAAACTGAATGGGAAACATGTCTTAGCTTCTCACCAAAGCAACATGACACATTACTTACTTACTACTGGCTGATATGCGAATTCGAGAGTTATTCGAAAACTAATTGAGTTCGCAAGTCAAATAGAGATTATAAAAACACCAAGTGGTTGTTTCATTCTTTTAGAACCCAGTAAGTCCATGTCACTTGTCATCAAAGTGCTTGTAAGATTCACAGCTGAAGGTGAAAATGACAAGACTAAGCGCAATTCAGTTGTGAGGACTACAAAAATTAAAACACTTGATTCACGAAGAAAAATCCCCTTGACGTCTGTTAAGATGTCAGGAATATCAGCATAACAACACGAGTTATACTACAGAGCAATATAAATGGTCTTCTTATTTCCACCTTGTCGTCGAGATCTTTGCTGAAGACATTTTCATACCAGACCGTTGATATGAATACGCTGCAACAGTATGGGAGATTATTTTGGATTTCTCCGATAAGTTTATAATGTATAGAAGCGTGTTTTATATCATCGCAACTTTCTCAACAAAAAGTCAATATTATTTGGAAGTGATGTACTCACTCAACAGCATTTCCTGTAGTAAAGTAACTCTCTAACTGTGCTGTTCATAAAAATAGGAAACTGAAGCAATGAGCAGCAGTGTCAGGTCCAACATTGGTGCTGTTTTATGGCCTGGTGATAGCATTCCAGAATGATCGATAGAATTCAGTCAGCACTCAGGACTACACAACATTAAATTGGTTACTCTCCACTGACCAGTCAGAGTACTTAATTCAGTCTTACAGGAGGTCAGTTGGGACTCAAATGGCTTAGGATGAAGTCTATGACTATAGCATTGGGTGACGGGTTCCAGTCTCTCAGGGAACACACGTTTCTTCGAGGCTCCAGATACGCCTGCTGACAAGTGCCAACAAGCACAAAACCGACATCCAAGCCTCCTACCGATTACCTCCAACTACCTAGCAAACATTTATTCACTTTGTCAGAGTAGAGGATACGTAAGTTGATCAGTTGTTAGTGTTTTCCATGCACTAAGCCAAAAAACCATCCCAAATGCCCTGGTATGTGTTCACACTCTCTACCAGTGAAGTCTTATTCACTGCCTTCACGTGGCGGAGATGCTCCCACAACGTGAAGGGGTGAAAGCGAATATCCGGTGCTTATCACCGGATCGGTGGATACTGAGGCCCCATTTGGGAGAGTTGGAAAGCCCCGATTCTAAACCAATGGTGCACATGGGCTTCAGGTTCCAGGAAGAACGAATGGCATATGAATCTATCCTAGTCACCTGCAATCATGGGAATGCAGCTCTTGCTATTCCTCCACTGTCTTGTGGATTAGTCAAACACTGGGGAAGTGGTCCTCTAAGACAACCACCTACTTCGGTCTGAGTGCCTAGACACTATCCCAATCCTCACAAGAAACATGAATTCACAGCATAAAAGGGAGATTTCGAAGCAACTAACCAACTTTCTTGCGAATAATCAAGCTCTCCGCACTATGAACTCCATAACCGATTGTTCAATTTGTTGCTATTAAACTGTTTTTTGTTGTTTTTACATAGCAAGTGTATTTTTCCATCTTTACCATTTTCGACTTTATCTTTATCTTCGCATTACTCGGCTGCTCTCAGTTGCTTAGACTCCTGATCTCTGGCTTGTACACGTGTTATGCATGTCATCGCAACGGCTTCCACACCATTCATTGTTTACTAGCCCCGCAACTGGATGAAAGAAGCAGAAGGGTGTTCAGTGTATGACGTGGGGCAATGGAATGAAGGATAGTTCTATCGGGTTAGCATCTGTTGGTGCATCAAGATTTTCTGGGTGAGGTCCGGAAAATCACGTAACTCAGTGACTTGAGACGTTATTAGATATGGCTCAGAATGGAAACCAGTGGTGGTCATGCTTCAGCTTACTTCTATCTTCTGGTGCTGAAAAGTAATGAATGATTTGTTTTGAATGCATTCTATTCGACTGCAGTTTTACTCATTCTATTCTTATCGGGTTTTTCTTTTTACCCCTTTTCCGTCGCTTTATGTCTTCAAAACAACGTTATACAGTTTTGCGTGGTACCATTGTTTGTTCTCCCATCTTTGTGTTTCAACAATGACAACATTAATAATAATATTATTATTATTAATGAGCTAACAGGTTCACAGGTTCACAACTACATAGAAAACTTGATACTAAAGTGACGTTAACAAGTCAAAAACTAATTGAAGGAGACTCTGTTTACAAAGTTTGCAATCGAGAACAACGATGGATAAAACGTGATTCGACGCTCCATTTTCATAATTGGTTTGTAAATTCCATTAAACCTAACCAATCTCTGTTTCAAGAACCACTGGTGAGTTCAGTAACCAGACGGTGATTACACTCTTCGTCAAATAGCAGACAAAGACTATATCAAATTTATCAGTGTGGTTTCTGCAGCTTGGTTAAAAACGTAACAGACAGAAAAATCACGAACTCAAACTGGAAACTTTACAGGAGTTTGCAGATTGATTAGCTATAACACAAAGGCACACACAGAAATTTTTCAGCCTTCAGTCTAGGACTTAGCTTCCCATTTATGTTCTGTCATTTGAGTAACCACTTTTTGAGAAGACCGACAAAATCAACGTAGAGTCTCACTGACAAATGTATAGGTTCAAGTTACCACACTTCACAGTAGTATAAAAACAACAAGTGGATAGAAAAAGAGTGACATCAAAGTAGACAAAGTCGTGTGAGGGAATAAACAATCTGAAGATAATGGTCAGTGCAAATACTCAAGCTTTAGAAGATGTCAAAGAGTGAACACGTCTGCGTCACTGTGATCGATTTGTAGCTATGTCACCAAGAGTTCTCAACCACTAATTCCTATCGTCTCGGCGAGCCCAGCCATGTAGTCTATATCTCCTCACACGACCCAGAACAACAGTGAGAAACTGCATGGACTGATGCCACGTCTTGTTCTGGCCATCTTGAACCATTTTCCAACCAAATCCAACTTCCCATATCATGGCACGTCGAGGTGGGTGGTGACTCGGCATGCGCAGCACATATCCAAGCCATCTCATTCAGTGAAGGTTCAAGTTGTTACCTCACTAGTCGACTTGCTTATGTTGTCTAGTACTCTTTGTCTGACCTAAACATTACTCACAGGGTGACTGCAGCAAACGCAAGCAATGTTACAAGAACCCTGTCACCGCTTCATGTTTTACTTTTAACGGCCATCTCGCATCCGTATAGCAGGACGGAATCGACTGCTACGTTGTATGTTTGAGTGTCTTATTTATTGAAGTACTTTTGACCTGGATTTTCGGGTTTTAATTCTGATAGATGTTACAGTCCACTGAATATGAGAAAGGAGATACAACTGGATGGTTTAGTATTGGAATTTCGTTCGTCACAGTTACATATGAATGGAACCTACTATTACAGAACACCTGTAAATATCTTTAAGAAAAGATTAAATATCCACTTTAGTGGCAACCCTAAGGATTGATATCGGCTAGTTTTATACTACCCTCATTCGTAAATCCATAGGCATAAAAACAGCTTTCAACTCAAACGATGTATGATCGAAGTTATCTGATCGTAAAACGTCAGTGACACGTCATATCATAACGGGATATCAAGGAAATTTGGGGATGCTTGGTATATATGAATTTTTAGGAGCGCTAAGTACGCCAAATCAATGTAACTCAACTACAAGAAGAGGTTTGTGAACCAGGTTGTCACGTGTCGGCCTACGATAATAGCCGAACATGAATGATTAAGTGCTGGGAGCAGGATTCGGAGCCAATGTATGGAAGTCGAACGCTATGGCAAGAGCTACGGCCTAACATTTGCGAAACATAGGCCACTGTTTAACACCAACATCAGTAGTACAAGTAGAGGAAACTTGTAACTTTGAGCTCTCGCTTTTTAGTCTTGAGGCTTGGTTCTTTTTGTTCGGTTGTACTCCTTCGATGGTTGCACAAGTCTTTGCACTTTTCCGGCTTAAAGCTTTGGAGGCTGTGATTGTCTGTTTGAAGGTATTTTACTTGCAAATCGTAGCTTGGTTTGTCCGTAAGGAGTGGAGCTGCTGATAAGACAAATTAACCTTTTGCAATTCCCGTTTTTATAACCACCTACAAGTTTTATGTGTTACTTAAAGTGCTGGAAATAGGGTGCGGGTAATGAGAAAAAGAGGGGTGAAAAGTACTTATGGGAAAATAAGTGTTACCGGTAATAATATGGAAAACAGATGCGTCTTATTGAAGGTACCAGGGTTGGGGAATACAGGGATGGAAGAGAATATCACCAGTTGCTATTGACAAATGTTCGCGGTAAGCCATTTGCGCTCACGTACTCATCCAGTAGCCGTTTGAAGGAGTAGACTGATGTAGATGCAGCTAATTCCTTCGACAGAGCGTTTCATAAGGCATATACTTTGTGAGGAGTTAGATTTTACTCTCGTCTTTGCCCTATGGTGGGGTATGCGAGTGGGATTCCCACGGGACTGCCGGTTTTGGACCGGTAACGTCGACCTATTTGGGTGGTCCACTTGGTGAGTGATCTCGTAGGCTGTTATCAGATCACCACGTTTCCTTTGATAGCTTAATGTGAACAAATTGGGTTATCTGAAGTGTTGCGCATATGTTTTGCCTGTTACTTCGACAATCGACTTTGTCGCTTTCTCTGCACCTTCTCGAGAGTATTTGCGTTTCTCTTAAGTAGTGGGGGCTATCGTATTGAACGCCTCTAGATGTGGTTTAACACAGGTTGTAAATACCATGTGGAGTAATTCTGGGGTTGACGATCCACGCTGTCCTCTTATAAAGTGGATGATGGCGTTCGCCTTTGCCGCCATTCTCTTATAACCGTCAGTAGTATCCAGTGTCAGAAAAGTTGTCCTAGGTCCTTCTCTGTGGATACTCTGGTGATTGTACACTTGAGTGTAGCTGGTTTTCATCACCTTTGATGTGCGAAGATAAGTCATCTTGCATTTTTATATGTTAAAGCTTAAACCGTTTGGAGTTGACTAGGACTCCAGCTGCCGTTTTGGAGTATCCGAGAGTCCTTTTTCTCCCTTATTGTCATCCATATTTTGACATCGTAACACGTTGACGGATTAAAACTATATGGGGAACGCCTTACAAAATACGCCTTAAGTATTTCGGGCTTATAACTCATTTAAGCATGGAATCACTTGAAAACTACGTTACCTCAATATCCTGGCAGAATGCTTCAAGAATCCTCTTTGCATTAGGCTCTGGGCAAACCACAGCTGGGACTTGGCTAGAAGAGTGGGGAGTTTATCTCCAGCGCAAGGCTCATCTGAAAGATAGAAACTGTTCCAGCCAAACTCGCCTGCTTGAATTAAGCAAAATTTTCACTTTACCGCATAATCATTTGATCTCCAAGGGACGAATACCCTCCCCCAAGTGTGGAAAGCCATGCCATAGACTCTTCGATGACAATTGATTTAACCAGTCGACTGCATACGACCTGCCACCTTATACAGAATAACATGAGAGAGAGACTTACATCGGAACATCACATATTTCCCGTTGGTAGAGAGATATTATAAACAAAGCCGGTAAGTTCTTACTGCACTTCAGATAGCGAGATAACAAAGTTGTAAAGTTATGATCTAAAGAGGCATCATACAGGTACTTGAATTCTGGTAGACAAATGGAGAATATTTTCACTTTTGAGATAGTATGAGTGTTTTGAGAGGTCTTATGAAATAAGTCGACAGGAAAATGTCGAAGTGAATAAAACGGACCACAACCGTAATTTATTTCCCGGTTGAATAAACTACATTCAGGTAAATCAATGACCCTAACAACAGATGAACAATACAAAAGTGCAATCATAATCTATAGCCGAAGGTCATGCCACTAACCAGCCCGCTTCCAAAGGTCAACTGCTACGGTTTCCTGAGCTGATGATTTGAAAGTCTGGCGGGAAACTAGGACGTCGAAGGTATACGTGCACTTCAGGCAGACCTAAACACCTTGTTTACCTGGTCGGAGAAGTGGCTGATGCCTACCAACACAGGCAAATGTATGAGGATGCATTTGCGGCACACACACAACAACATCTACGACATCAATGGGACTCATCTAGCGTCAGTACTGACACACAATTACCTAAGAGTCACAATGGGTTATGATTTGAAAGCCACGGCACACCATCGATTGGTAGCAGCTCGGAGTTTTAGGACACTTCACATTACGCAGACCGTTTACAAAATAAGTGGTGATATATTTGTAGCGTCACACACTTCCCCAAAATCAATAGCCTAGGGTTTGACGACTTTCGACATTGATGCTGACCTTGATAGTTTAACTGGACTCGCTAAGCTGGAGGCAACCGGTCAAGCATCCTCGCCATTTGGCACGCTGTCGTGTTACGTTGCACTGCTCGTATTCGACTCTCTAGCCAGTTAGTTGGAACGCATCGGTATCTTGGTACAACCATCCAAATATACTATTCCATTAGACTAGGGCAATCATGTTCTTCCTTGGTCTCGTACTCGTGGGTATGTAACAAGTCCGAGCAATTAGTGATTGGTCTCTGAGTCTGTCAAGTTCGCACCAGGACAAATCCTAAATATTCACCATCTTATATACATCCTTAGTTAGGTCTAAATTAGAAAACTGTACACAGGCAGCGAATTCCTGTCTGAAAGGTGACACAGACGTTTCAGAAAGAGTTCAGAGGACGGCCACTCGTATGATCCGTACAGTGGATAGGCTGGCCTATGAATATCAAGTTAAGGAGCTGAACCTCTTCTTTTTATCCTGTCGCGGACAGAGAGATCTAACCATGCCGTGCAGGATTCTAAAAAATGACTTCGGACTTGATCTGTCTAGTCTTTTTATCCCCACTGGGTCAGAACACCTCAAAGGATATAGCAGGAGACTAAAGAAGTAGAGAACGAACGTACCCTGCACAGAGCGCTGGTTTTCGCGTACATTAACTAACTCCTACAGAAAGTTGTATTAGCTTCAAACAACAGATCTGAATCGGGATGTGAAATGGTTCAGGTGGTTATGATGGAATACAAGCCCTCAACTAACTGGTTTCTGCATCTGGATCACTGCTTCTTGTGCTTCCTAGCATGCATAGAAGTAAGGAGAGAACAAAAGGAGTCGGATAAAGTCGAACAGTTAAGGAAATTCTGAGCAGATCCCACTCACAGCTTAAGCAAATATCAAGCTAACGTTCAGAGGATTAAGAGCGTGTAACCTGTATCATTTATGCAGGAAAAGAATTTCAAGGTTTAGGGACTCATAGGGAATAGAAGTTGTGTCTGATACCTAACGGGAGAGATTGAGCAACTTTGCATGATAACGACTTATTAGGCGAAGTTTAACAGATGTAAGAGGAAAGTAAAATTGGCTGGCTAGGCGAATATGATGAGAAAAGAACCACATCCTTTACGAGAAGAAATTCAGAAAGGCGTTCAAGAGCTTTCGCTTAAATTAACTAGGTCGTGATATGAATCAGGAATATTGCGAAAGTCACCAAAACCAGATTCAGGGATATTTTGTGAACGAATGGCATAATTGTCAGGAATGCTTCAGAGTAAGTGGGCGCAAACCATTCTAAATTCCATCAGCATGACATGAAGCTGGTAAAGTTGCCATCCGGGGAGTTAGGCCGGAAATGTCTTCTAAAGCAGAAATCAACAAGTGGTAAATGTTGTAGGGAAAAAATGACGACTTCGATAAGGAAATTTTGCTCTATGTATCAAAGAGGAGGAAATTGTGCTCATAAGCAGGGTATCTTAACTTTGTATTGTGAACAACATTCCATCACACTTGGCTCATCAGGACCTAGTAAAAGAAGAAAAGCGCTCGCCGGACAATAAGCTAGACGAGGGAAGGGGAAGGATAACCGCTGAATTGGTAGTTTTCAAGTCTTGGGACACTCGAAGCGAATGCCTCCGTTGCCTGCGTAGGTGGATTAAGTTACACTGAAGTGCTGTTTATAATACACTACAGCCGAATCATTTGGTTTGTGGACTATTCCTGATCTCGCTACCGTTTCTGGTACCTGGTTCATAAATGATCCGGATATTAGTGAGTTTCCTTTCGTGTATAACCATATTAGGACGAGTAGGATCCCTAAGTTGTGAGAGGGCGGCATACAACTTCATGCCCGTGACTGCCTTCACATACTTTCATATGCCCTGGAAGCACATAATTAAGGTACATGCCAGAAAACCGTCTGTGAGTCGAACCGAAGCTAGATGCCTGTACTTTAGGGCTGTCTATCGTAGCCTATCTTGCCTTCAAAACAGCTTCACACCGAATCAGACACGGAACTGGAATGGTACCTGTAACGGATGAAAGTCAAGGAAAGGAAAACTCCACGTGTAAACTGAGCCTAAATTACGGTCTCAGCCTCAATCAGGTGGTTCGAAAAGGATCTGCTTTGACGGTGCTAGTGCACGCCCTGGCGTAAAACGTAACCAGTGTAGTGCGTTGCAACCAAGAATGTAGGGCCTCATTATTGTATTTACTTTCAACCAGCTAGTGAGAAAATATTGGGGATCTGTAATGTTGAGTATCAATACCAAGTGGTGACCATGCTGTCCCTACTTTTGGTTTTCTGACAAATAGTTTTTAAATCCACTCAGGTTCCCGTAGATTGAATATTAGGCTCTCAGATATGTTGGCCGAAAAGGACTGTGTGTCAAGTAAAGTTTGAAATATCGGTAGGCAATCGTGCATAAATTGTCAAGGGGATAGGGCTTGAACCGTGTTCGAAGGGGGTGACGATGCCGGTTATTCCGCGGTCGATTGCACGAAGATCACCTCACCTGCAAGTGGCTGGGTCAGAATACTTAAAAACTTCTGAAGTGGAGGGAACGTTCACGGAATTTGTTTTTACAGTCATGATTGGAAGCACTTTTAGTTGAGCGCTATAGGGTTCGAGATTTATGCAAAACTTCCGCTACGTGGTCTCGGCTAGCATGTAAGATGTATCGTGGGACACAAGTTATTCCTATGGCCTATCTCTACTCATTCGGGGGACAAAGAAAAGGAAAACTGGAGTTCCGCTTCTGGTGACGTGGGACAGTCAAACACCCTGATAGAGCGTAGTCCGACCATAGGTAAGTGCCGTTCCGAATACCTCGCTTAAGTCGTCTCGGGAGGTCGACACACAGGTGTGGCATACATTAGTGTCTCTACTGACCCTTCAATGGGTACATAATGAGAGAGACAGTGCTTTTTGTTTTATGCCAACCTGATGTGCATGGTTTGCATCCCAGATCCCTATCTTCGCCGGTAGAACTTGTAGATAAGTTGATTTCTTGTCTTTGCGATACTTTCCCGTCCGACGCTTGCCCACCTTATAGAGTGTAGAGCTGTCGGAATAAGCCCGGTTTTCAAGGTTCGTAATTGTTGAGCGTGTTATGATTTTCCTCTTCTAATGTATTCAAAGACATTGATAACTTATTTCGTTTGACTCCACCCAGTTTGCTTGTACAATCATATTGAACCTCTCGTCTCGAGCAATGTCAATATTGTGCTTTGTTTTGGATGGAAGCTGCAGTAGCCATCAAGAGTAAAGGTTTGCAACTAAGTTTTTTACATATGTTTTGTTGTGAAGGCTGATTTTTACAGGGTTCACTGACAGTACGATCACACATTTGTGGACTGGCAACCAACTGTTTTGGATTTATTCGGCTTCGTTTTGGGTCTGAGAGCTCTGGAACTTGGTATCTTTGTAACATGTTACTCAGTGGATTCGACGTAACATAAATTCTTCAATTTGGCTCCGCTCATTTGACCGACGATTTGGTTCGTTCCCCTATGGAATCAAGTTTCAATATTTGGAATGCTCTGCTTCTTCTGGCATGTCTTTGGATCACGGAAATCTATCTGCTAAAAGAGTTCATAATGCTGGATCTGGACAAAGGAGGAAACCCCGGCCTGTAGACAATAACCTGGAATTTTCTAATATTTTGTGTGATGATAAGAAAGATAAAGTGAGTGTTGATGGTGTTAGTATGCATGGTTCGTGTAGTATACCTAATCACGCTAATTATCAAGCACCTAAATCTTTGTCGAGGGAGAAGAGGTTAGGAAAGAAACTAAGATCAAGTGTTGCATCGTTCGATGATGCAGTGGGAGTTGAGGGTAAGACAGACAGCCATCCCAGGTCTCAGAATGTTGTAGGATTATCCGAACCCATTGACACCCAATATAACTTTGCGTCAGATTTTACTGTTTAGCCTCGATGGTGAACAGCATCTCTTTACCGAGGACAGAGCCAATGCACTTTGATGGAGGGCCTGGTCAGTACCAGTCGTTTGTGGGTGAGTTTAGAAATACGATAGAGATCGAACTTACTGACAAAGACCAGATGTTGTCCTATCTCTTACACCTTTGTAAAAGGGCAGAAAAGGACAGCGATAGAAGCATGTATTTTGCTACCTGTTGATCTCGGATATGACAGAGCTAGAGAAATCTTTCGCGATTTGTTTGGACAGGAGCATATGACTGATCGATCACTTACCGACGACTTGGTCGGAAATAGACAGCTGGTGGAGAATACCTTTGAGGCTACCAATGGGTTCTCTCTGAAGCTTAGGAATGCACAAGTAGTGCTGTCTCAGGCAGGCTATTTTGAGGATTTGAATTTGCCGGTCAACTTGGAGGCTATTAGCAATCAGTTACTTGTAGATTTACAGGGCAGATGAGCTGGCGTAGCAGACAGGATTTTCGTTACTGGGAGAGAACCCTAGTTCGAGGACTTGGTTTGCTTCGCTGAGGAGATAGCCAGAGTAGCTCGGTCGAGGTACTGCTTTTTGATGAGATGCGATTTGGAAAGCGATCGGGTGGAGAGTTCCTGCTAGAAATTTAGGAGCAGGTTCCACTGTAATTTGGTGGGAGGTGCCAATCACTCTACAGGTGGTAGGACCATATGTACCATGGGTTGCATCTTACGCAATGACTCCCACAGTCTGACTGAATGTCCAAAGCCATTGA